GGGGTGCAAAGCATTAAATTTCCCTCATGAGACATGTTTCTATAGTGCAGTTTGTCAACTCCGCTTTACAAGGCTTTTGGCTTTTGAGGAAAAACACGTGAGTTTTGCATATTCGGAGCAGGGAGCTGGCCGCCGCTCAGCACTAAGAAGCTTGGCATTGTCTCAGGGGCACGAAGTTTTACCGAGCCATGATTGACCAGAACCTCTCAGCCCACACCGTCCTGGCCCTGACTGGATTTCCTGGCCCCGCCGCCACCCTTCACTCCGCCCGACTTCTCTACGCCACCGGCGCTTTGGGCTCTGATCAGTATACGGAGTGCCTCAAGCGCGCGTTGCTTGCGTCTTCTGCTATGCCAACTCCTCTGGAGGATTGGCAATCCTGGCTCGTCCTGGCCCAGAAGTCGCCCAACAGGCTTTGTGGCCTGGTCTTGCGTAGCCGCGTAGCCGAGGACTGGAGGCGCGCAAAAGCCAAACCATTGCGGCTCTAAGCGGCCTGTGTCAAACCCGTTAAGGAAGCAGGTAGCTCACCAGCCGAACCTGCAGAGGCCTGCGTCATCTGCCGCAGGCGTGGGCAGCCCAGACTACATGGATACAGAACAGTTGCCCACCTTGAGTAGCCTGCTTCACTTGTTCAGGACGCGGACGGCGCCACGACAGCACTGACTGGCCGTCTGCGTCGCCATTTTGTGCGCAGTGCGGTGTGCCTGCAACAGTCGGGCACCTGGCGTGAACCCCCGCACTGTGGCGGGATCGAGGTGCATCCGCAAGCCCCATCCGCTGCCGATCCGGACCTCCTGGTCGGGCCCCTGTGCTTGAACTTAGAGCGGGTGTGTCGGTGCATCTCCTTGAGACGCTCAGCCGCTCAGCTCCCTTGATGCGGACGATGAAGACGCTTGGGAGGCGGTGTCAGAGGCTGTCGAGTGCCTGAGTGTTCTTCGGGCTACGGTCGACAGATGGAGATCCAATGCGGCAACCTCCACTATTGTCGAACGTATGTTGCTGGATGTGGACTTGCTCACGGACACTGTCCAACCTGCCCGGCACCCTAAACCTTTCCCTGCGGACAATGACCCGTGTTGGCCCGATTTGCCACACTTCTTGCTGCCCGTCGGCACCGAGTCCATTTCAGTCAGTCTTGAGGGTCCGCCAGCCCTCCGGATGTCCCCCACTTGCATGAGGCTCCGCTGCGGTCGTGCCTACTCATGCTGGCTCGAACAGACTTGCGATGTCATAGCCCGAATCCTCAACGAGGCACAGGGCAGACCCTCTCAAGTTCTTTGGCGGGAAGGCTTGGGACTCGGCTGACTGGCTAAGGTCTGCGGGTTTGGTTTTCCAGCACCAGGGCATGTGCCATTCTGCTTAAGGTGCTTCGTTTCACCGCTGAATTCGTTTAGCAGTTAGCAATGCGTGCGTCTGATTCAGACCCGAACGCGATGAATGAAAATGGTTGCGGACGAATACGGCACCTACACGCCGGTTTGCTTTGGGTCCAGGCTGCCCTTGGAGTGACAACCCCTCGGACTTGGGAACAAAACCACTAGGTGGAACACGTTCAGGGAGCTTCTCTTCCTGATGCGAGCAATCACCCCGCAGATGGAGCCCTATGGAGCAGAAGACAGAGGGGCAGCGTTGCAAAAGAGGAACCTGGCCAAGGCGATCAAGGAGATGGAAACCAATGGTGTGCATGTGGCAGGATCCAAACAGGTGCTGCTGACACAAGTGGTCAATGCCGAAGGGCACACGCAGGGCTTGGGCTTGGCTACGGTCACGCTTTTCATGGCTGGAGATGATGACTTGTGGTACAGTGTTTGGCTACAGCAGCAAATGGACTCGGAGTCTGGATCATGGTGGCTTGGCTTCCCTACCTTCTTTACAAAGCCCTTAAGTGGTGTTTTGCAAACGTTTTCCTGAGGACTGCTGCAGTGGATGCGGCCGTGGAAAAAAATTTCGACGAGGAGCCAAGACCCAGGAGCACAAAAGCCACACAGGCCAACATCCTGTCTCGAGTGGGGCCTGGCAAGGAAGAAATGCTGTTCATGGAGAAGTACGTGAACTGCTGCAGGCATCTTGAGGAGGTGTTTCATGAGAGGTGTTGTAAACTCGAAGAGTGTGGGGAAACGGCCGAAAACAGGGCCTTTCCCGAAAGATGTGTTGCCCTCCAGAGCCGAAGGCAACAGGAAGAAGTTGCAGTGGCCACAGCGCGTGGCCAGCGATTTCACCTTCCAACTTGCGCCCACTTGAAAGGCTCGGCAACGAGGCGTTATACCCCATGCCGGGATTGTCTAGAACATTTGGCCTAAGTGACTTTTGGAAGAGAGTTTTTGCTTCTTTGGATCCGGAAGGAAGAAGGGACCCAACGGGGTGCAAGAAGTGTGCCCACCTTTGAGGATCATTCGCACTACATCACCAGGAATAAAGTTTC